AGAGGCTCCCTTTTCCAGGCGCTTTGGTCTTCAGAAGACAGGGAGCTCTACTGCTCTTGGTCCCTCAGAAAGGAGGGTTACAGAGGGAGTTCTTGGTCTGCAGCGCTCAGCCTCCTCCTCTGTCCTTGAAAAGGCCTCCACTCAGGTAGGTGTCATGAAGGGGGTCAGGGCAGGCTTTTCCCTTGGGACAGAGAGTACCTCCTGTTTCTCTCCTGTCTCTCCAGGCCAGGGAGCCCCGTCTTGCCAGAGTAACCCCTACCCCTGCCCAGAAAGTGCCAGAGCCCTTTACCTTGTAAGTACCAGGGGTAGGGTAAGGGGGCAGGTCTGGTTCTATCCTGGCACTTGAGATCCCGAGAAAATCCTTAGGATGCATCAAATAAATGCTCACTGTAAAATTCCCAGGCCACTGTGGTCTGTCTGCCCTGGGCCTTTGCACTTCCTGTGGAAACCATAGGGTTGGCTTGGGCTCTTCCTACCTCTTGGTGTCTGCTTATATGCCACCTTCTCCGTGGGGCCTCCCAGGACTGCCTTACTGACATTGACACAGAACATGTCCCTGTCTTGTTCTCAGTTTTCTACAAGCACTTTTCTCTCCATGCTTCAGACTTGCCGTTTTGGCTACTGTTTGTTTTGCCCAGAAATGACTCTGTTCAGAAGTTATGACTAGTTTATTCTCTGGTCTCTCCCATGCCTGGCACAGAATGCAGGCTTGAGGAATATTTGCTGATGAATGAATCCATGCAGGTGTGAGGCTACCACGCCTCCTTCTTTGGATCACTCGGCTCCACCCTCCAGGAGGGAGCCAAATGTCCTCACAGCCTCTGCAGCACCCCTGGCCGACTCGAGGGATCGCCGGAGGTAAAGAGGCTAGGGAAAGTAGTACTTACACAGTAGTGTTTGGGGATCTTCGGGATTCTGGGTAGGCTTCTGGTGTACTGTGTGTCCAAGGTCTACGAGAATTGAAATGTTCTCTGCCAGAAAGTGTATCCTTCTAAAGTGTCATACACAGGTGTGACAGCACCCAGGGGACAGCGCACTCTCAGTTTGTGGTTCTCCACTCAGGTCCTACCAGATGCCTGTGCGTGATGAGGAGTCTGAGTCTCAGCGGAAGGCTCGCTCCCGCCTTATGCGACAGTCTCGGAGGTCCACACAGGTGTGGGGATGGGCTGGGCCTGTGCTCCTGGGTATGGTGGAGGAGGGCTGAGTCTGTGCTCCTGGGTATGGTGGAGGAGGGCTAGGCCTGTGCTCTTGGGTCTCAGGGAGAAGGCTGGGGTCTGTGCTCTTGGGTCTAAGGGAAGAGGATTAGGGACCCAAACTTGAATCCCATCAGAGTCTAGGCCTTTTCCCCTGACTATGTTCTCTCTGCTAGGGTGTAACTTTGACAGACTTGAAGGAAGCAGAGAAGGTGGCAGGGAAGGCTCCAGAGCCAGAACAGCCTGCCCTGCCTAGCCTGGTGAGCAAGGTCAGGTAAAGTGGGGTGGATGGAACCTATTTCCCTGTTTCTGACTTGGTGTGCTCCTTCCTGGCAGGACCCTTCTCGGAGACCTCGTGTCCCTGGAGTGGAGAATGCTGAGGGCCCTGCCCAGAGAGGTGAGGCCTGCTTTCTGGGAAATAGTTCCCCAGGGAGCCATCCTATTTCTCCTATAAGGTCTTTTTGTTAACTGGAAGACTAAATTGGGTTCCCTGTACAGTAGACAAGGGCTCCTGTAGTAGTGTCTGGGCTGATTCCCGCCAATTCCCCAGCAGAGGCGCCCGACGGGCAGGGCCAAGGACCCCAGGCAGCCAGGGAACACCGAAAAGTCGGCCATGAGCGGAGGGGCCCAGCAGAGGTGAGGATACTGTGTGGAGGGTAGGTGGGCTGGAGGGAGGGCAGGCCTGGACACTGGGTAGAGATTAAACTCTTGGGGATCTTCTGCAGGGGGAGGAGGCGGGGCCTGCAGAAGGAAGTCCAGAATGCAGGTAGGCTGGGTCATGCATGGGGCTTGGATCACATCTCTGGGCAGAGCGGGGTCCCTAAGGCCTGTCCTTTGGTCCAGCACTATGGATGCTGGCTCCACCGTCCACAGGCAGCGCTCACAGAGAGACCTCAACCTAGAACCCAAGCAGGAACAAGAAGAGCCTGATGGAGGCTTCCGGAAGGTGCAGCATCCCAGCCCGTGCCCCACACTACCCTGTTCTGGTTGCCCCTTTACTGCCCCTTCTGAGCCTGCCTGCCTCTTCTGTGTTCCCAGCTGTACATGGAGCTTCGCAGAGAGAATGAACGGCTTCGAGAGGCCCTGACAGAGACCACCCTGCGGCTGGCACAGCTCAAGGTGGAGCTGGAGCGGGCCACACAGGTACAGAGGCAGACACCCAGAGCCCAGCTGTGTTGGGAATAGTGAGGGCAGAGCTCCGGTGGCTCCGGGCCTGGGTCTGCCTGGGAGGTTGGAGGGCTCCTTCCCCTAGTGATAAAACTCTGGCTGGACTAGTGGAGTAAGGAGGTAGCTCCTGACCCCAGGTCTTCTCTGTCCTCATCAGCGGCAGGAACGCTTTGCTGAGAGGCCCGCGCTCCTGGAGCTGGAGAGATTTGTGAGTTGGGCTGCTGGGGTAGGCCCACTATGTCCCAGACTTCCTCTGCCCCCTGTAGTTACCCTGCTCTGAACCTGCCCCATGCCTTGCAGGAGCGCAGGGCCCTGGAGCGCAAGGCAGCAGAGCTGGAGGAGGAGCTGAAGGTGATTGGGGCTTGTGATGGGCAGTGGGTAGAGCCCAGCCTGCCTAGCACTAGCCAGCTGACTCCACCCTGTGTCCTAGGCCCTGTCTGACCTGCGGGCTGACAACCAGCGGCTCAAAGACGAGAATGCAGCGTTGATCCGCGTCATTAGCAAACTATCCAAGTGACTCTGGAGGAGTTCCTGCACCATATTTATACAGCTGCTTCTGACACACGCACCCCTTCCCCCGAGTGAACATGAGTGACAGGGCTCCGGGGGAAGTTGCTGAGAAGCCATAACCTCTCAGGATCTCAGATCCGGGAGGAAAGCACAGAGTCCCCAGGAACCAAGAGGGGCCCTCTGAGGCCAGGATGGAGGTGGGAGGCTGAGCCAGGTAGGGAGACATTGCTGAGAGTGGACAGGCACCAGAAATGGGACCAAGAAGGAAGCAAGGACCAAGAAATGCAATGATCAGTATCCAGGAGCAGAGTGGTTGCCCCGGGGTCTCACCTCACGTGTGATGCTACCCAGCACCCCTATCCTCCCCAGCAGGGATCCAGGAATGTGCCAAGAGTCCCACTGGCCCCTGCCAGGTGGGCCTGTATACGGGGTCCATGTGCAATAGGGAGGGTGTCTTCTATTTTTGCTGCCTCCTCTCCACCCATTGTCAGGGGAGGAGGAGAAGGTATTTTTGAGACAAAGCACAGGCACCACAAATAAAGTCGTGACATTGCCACTTAGTCTCCTGCTGGGTGGAGGATGCTGTTTCTTGCTTGTGTGTTCAGGCCCATTGTGATGGGGTACAGTGGGTGGCTAGGAGGTGGCTCACAGGTGTAGGGAGGGTACTTAACTAAAGTGAGCAAAGAATCCCAGATGATACAGTGTTGGGGCACTCAGATTTGCCCTCAGTTCCTCTGAAAGGAGTGGGGTTGGTAACTAGCATTGATAATGTGGAATGGTTCACATAAAAAAACTGCAAGTTTTTCATCTCTGGGAAAGGAATATGTGATGGCACGAAGTCCTGCAGATCTTCGTGGCTACATTGGCTGGGACAGGGCAGGAACTAGTCTTGAGAGGCATCATGCCTCCATCCTGTAACCTATACTCCCAGTCACTGGGAGTGACTGCCAGCTCAGCTCTGTCTGTTCTGCTTACTGGTGTCACAGGAATGAACAGCTGGGGCCAGGAGCCCATGCACTGTAGGAGGGAGGCAGCCAATGCGTGGATTTCAGCTTTAGTGCTGTGGAGAAAGCACAGCACTTTCTCCACAGGGGAGAGGGCAGTGTGGTGTTTTGGTGGACTTTGGATATGTGGTGTGTGGTGCATGGTATGGCTGATGTGGGTGTTTCTGGTGCATGTGTGGTGGTCATGATAGTCAAAGTAGTCCCCGAGACAGGCAGCACAGACAGATACTAACAGGTGGCAGAGTGAGCCATACATCTGAAGGAAGCACATTGCATGACGAGAACCATGAATGCAAAGGTCGTGGGGTAGCGTAGGTCTGGCCTGCTGAGGTGCAGAGACATGGCTCTGCTAAGGACTTAAGCTCTGAGGGTGGAGGTCTGGCCACCAGATTACCATCTGACTTGAGTTGTAACAGGTCCCCCTGTGATCAGCAAAGGGTGGAGTCAGGATCGATTCCAGACCACAGGGAGCTACAGGCAGTTCCTGCTGCATTTCAGTCAGCAGCCCATGAAATCCAGTTTGGGGAACTGCTTGTAGTTTTGGTTTCACTATTAGAAGAGGGTGGCAGCAGGGCATCTATCTGCCAGTAATCCCTGGGTTCAGGAAACTGAAACAGGAGATTGGATCATTTGAGGCTATATGCAGACTGTGTCCAACAAAATCAACCAACCCTGGCATAAGGAGTGATGGCCCAGGCTGCGATTAGACTCCACAAGGACAGGAGGATATTCCTGGCAGAACCACCAGCATGAACCAATGCCTGGAGTCCCGAAGAGGGAGAAAGCACTAAGCTTGGAGTGGTCGTAGGCCATCAGCTGTTACACTGGAATTAGGTTTTATCTCATGTGCTAGGAGAAGCAAAGGGGCATGCTTGAGGTAGTCAGGGAATGGGTATTGGGGCTCTGTAGAGGCTGTGTCCTAGGGGGAAGGTATTCTAGTGAAGCGGTCAGCCCAGGGCTGGCTCTTTGGGTTGGATTTGAGGGGCGCCACCTGGTGGCCCAGCTAAAGACTGAGCTGCTCCAGGAGTGGAGAATGACCATCTACCGGTGCGACTTCTGGAAGTGTTTCAGGGATGCAGGGAGAAGCGCCATGGCAGGAAAAGAAAGACCTTAGAGAGTTCTAGTCTGAGTGAGAAAACCAGATCTTTTAAGCCACTTGGATAACTGGGACAAGTTTCAGGACCTGGCAGGGAGATTGTTCTTGAGGGGACAGGAAGACCCAAGGGCCTGTAAGCATGCCCAGGGAGCATCCAGATCTCCATAGCTGGATCCTCAGAGGCTGGTGCAGGCATCAACAGTGTGTAGGTGAGTTGAGCCAGGATGATAAAGGCTGCTCCAACTAGCAGAAGCAGGAAGTGCGAAATGTGTGTGATGGAAGGGGCTGGCCCAGAATGGACGGTGGGCAGTGACACCCTCCTTGTTTGAATGAAAAACCTCATAAGCCAGATGACCGGACTGAGAACAGCTAGGAGCCAGGGAAGGGTTTTGAAAAAAAGAGGTTGCAGGTGGGGCTAGCGGGAAGATAGCCTGGTGATTAGGAGAAACCTGTATTCTCTCCAGACTTACGGAGAGAAAATGTGTGGCATCTCCCAGATTCCTGGCTCGGTGGTAGCCAGCAAGAGAGGGGGACAGCAGGTGGACATGGCCTAAAAGGAGGCTGTTTATGGCACATCACAACCCAACGGATCCCTCACTGTGCCTCTTGGGCGTGCCCCTCTGGTAGTGTCTCTATACTCCGCCCCCCCCCCCCCCCTTCCATTCCCCAGTCCCTCTGGGAGGGTTCCGGTCAGCAGTGTCAGTGCAGTCTGCCTGCCAGGGTAGGTAGCAGGGAGACCAGGAAAGGAAGTCCTTTAGGGCATCTACTGCCACTGGCGATGGGGAGGAGTCTGGCTACTGTTGTCCTATGGGCGCTGGGAACCCCGCCGTCTAATCACTTTCTGTGAGCGAGCCAGGAAGTGTCAAATGACTTCTGTTTTCGTCTCGCCTTCCACTTTTTTCTTTTGCTTCTCCATCACGGCCTCCAGCTCTGACACTTTTTCTCTGTCCTGAGGGCGGGGTGGAAATCAAGACCTGAGCAAGTGAATCCTGGGCGACTTCCGCTGCCTCTTACGATTAGAGCAATTGTCTCACCTCCAGCAGCGCGCGCTGCACGGTGACTTGGCTGTACACTCGCGCCCCTTCGTCGGGGCACACTGCCCGCAACTCTTCCTTTTGCAGTGAGAAGAGCTGTGCCCCGGTCAGCACGCCGAGTGCGTCCACGGTCCTGAGCAAGGCAGCAGGAGCCATTTTAGCTCAAGCTCCCTCAGCCCTCCCCGCACCATCATGTCACACCCACCCAGCTGCTGATCCAATCAGAGAGCTCTCAGGCAAGGAAGTTAGGGCTGAGGGGCTCAGGCTCCAGAGACTTGGGGTTCAGAAGGGGGATGGGACTTCCCTGTGGTCTCCAATCGGAGACTGTCAGGGGTGTTGCAACTTGGCCCATAGTTTCCTCCTCCCCGACCCTGGACCAATCTGAGCCTCGACTTCCAGCTCTGGTATCTGTCTCTGCAGACTAGCAGCTAGACCCCACTCACCCAGGGCTAAAGCCCTTGGTCTGGAGCCAGGCACGGACCGCCGAGGCCTCAGAGCGCGGGCTGAGTTGGGGCTCCGGAGCACGGGGCCCCGGGACTACCCGGCAGGGACCCGAACGGCCCTGCGCCAGGCGCGCCTGCAGCTCCTCATTGACACAGAGCATCTGGGAGAATTTCTCTGCAGGAGGGAAACCGTGAAGGGAGTGTGCACTCAGGGTGCTGGGGCCAGGGGTTCGGGAGCCTCTAGCGTGCCCAGTGTGGAGCCTAAAAAGCGAAGACAAGGATCACTTCCCAGAATGACTCTCCGCCACTCACCCTTCTCGATGGGGTCCAAACTGTTGAGAGTGTCGCAGCTGTCCCACTGTGGCCTCACTTGAGTAGGGGCTGGCGCTGGCTCAGCTGGGGGAGCCGGAGTGCTAGTCTCCTGGAGGGACGAAGAGAAAGGGATAAGGTTAAACATCTAAACACTCTCCTTCCTAGCAGTACCTTTCACACCTGATTTTCTCTGCCCTCATCCCCAGGACCTAGGACCTTGCCCCCACTTTTCCCTGAAGTAGCAAGAATATTCTGACTTACAAGGCTTCTTTCAGGGCTTTGGCTGCACTGCCCCTGCGGTCCAGGGTGGGGTGTCAGGATATTATAGGGTACATAGCCCTCCTGTCCCTGATGGTCTCGAACCTTCCACCATTTGCGCCTGTCATCCAGGACCTGGGTGGAGTATAAGCAGAAAATTCGTGCCCTGGTTCTATGCCTAGTCTAGGCTGGACTAGCCAATTCTAGGGTCTGTGGCTCCCACCCCTCTAACCTCCAACACGTCTCGGTGCTTGACAGACAGCTCACTGCTGTTTCGGGCCTGGAAGTCATAATTACACAGAACCCACTTTCTGGTTCTCTCTTCTAGCTGGGGCTCAGCTTCCAGTCCTGGATCTTGATGACTGGGGAGAAGGAAACCGGTAGGAGATAAGGAGGTAGCCAGCCTTGCTGATCTGGATTCTAAGGTGCTAATGTGAAGTGGGGTTAGAGCCAAGCAGGGGCCTAGGTTAATATGTTAATGCAGACTTGACTTAGGAGTCATAGCTTCAATATAGTTAGCTCATTTCCTTGCCTGGCACCATGCAGTAAACATGATGTATTTTGGTTACTCTTCAATTCTTTATTGGATTCTGGGATTGAACTCAGGGCCTTGTACATGCAAGGGAAGTGCTTTACTTCTGAGCTACACTCCCAGTCCCTCACTTGCATTTTTTATTGTTCTTAACCATTCGTGTGTATTTTGCCTGCATGCATGCATGAGCACCACCTGTGTGCAGTAGACACAGTCTGGAAGAGACTGTCCTAGAGCTTGGTGTTACACACAGTCGTGGGCCATCATGTTGTGCTGGGGACTGAACCTGGGTCCTCTGCAAAAGCAGAGAGTATTCTTAACCTCTGAGCCATCTCTCCAGCCCCTCACTTGCATTTGATAAGTGAGGACAGTGGGACTCAGAGCAGATAGCTAGAAGGAGAAGATCTATAGGATCATCCACTAGGATAATGAGCAGGGTTCAAACAGTAGCTAACACTTACGCTTGTACTGCCAATCAATAGCTGACGCTTCTGCTGCGTTGCATGCCAGTCATGTTCAGGTTCAGTTCTCCTGGAGCTACCCATAAATCTGGGTCCTGTTTAGTTCCTTCTCCAGAGATCTCACTATTATCCCCCTTCCACCCTTTGTGTGGTATGAGGGATTGGACCCAGTACCTCATGCATGCTAGGCAGACACTGTACCTAGGACCCATATCCCAGCCCCTCACTGGTAGATTCTAGGCAAGTGTTCTTCTGAGCCACAGTTCAGCCCTTCAATGATGGATCCTGGGAAAGGGTTCTACAACCATGGCCACAGCCCTTCATTGGTTGGATTCTAGGCAATGATTCTACCATTAAGCCCTACTCCCAACCCCTCTGTATTCTCAGGCAGTTACTCTACTCCTGAGCTGTGCCCCCAACCCTTTACTGGTGGATTCTAGGCAAATGCTCTGCCACTGAACTACATCTATTTTATGTATATAGATGTGTTTGTCAGGATTTAAGTCTTGTGCCTGGTGCCTACAGAGACTAAGGAGAGTGTTGGATCTCCTGGGATTGGATTTATAGATGGTTGTGAGCTGCTTTATGGGTGTGACTTAGCTGGCTCCTGGCAGTCCTTGTTCTGCATCACTCTAAACTGCTCTGCATGCATCTGGGTTTGAACTCAAGCTGAGCCACAACATCAGAGGTTCTCATATTTCCAGGCAAAGAAATTATAGTCAGAGAAGGTAAGTAAAAAGCTGGAGGTGCCGAGCCCAAGGTTCAGAAGCAGGCAGACAGAGGCGAGGGTCCTGCAACACCAGGCAACTTGGGGGACAGTTGGCTCTGGCCCCCCAACAAGAGAGACCTCATCCCGGATCAGGCCTACCTGTGCAAGGGAGAGGGGGGCTCTTCAGGGCCACAGCACCCCCTGTGTGGGGCTGACAGGTCCCAGTGTGCCGTCCTTGCTGAGACCCTCTGCTGGGGCCCCCACTTAGACCCCATTCATCTTCCCCAGCTCTATCATCCACTTCCTCCACTCCTGACCCTTATCTGCAACCCTAGAGTTGTGACTCCTCTACATCATCTTCCTCCCCTGGACCTACATTTTGGATTCCACATTTTGGTAGAACCATAAATTTAGGTCCCTAGTTCTTTTCTTCCCAGCCAAGTAGGCAGGAGTCCAGGTCTTAACCTTCAAGTCCCTGGGTCCTTTCAACCCCGCTAGCGTTCCCGTTTGCTCCCAGTAGGCGCTGTTCCTTAGAGCATTCAGAAGCCAAAAGTCCCACCTCCGTTAGCAGCCCTGAGATGCCAGCGGTCTCTAACGTTTCCTCAAGCTCCCCAGCCTCTAGAAGTACCAACCCTGTGTTTAGGTTTCCATCTTTTCCCTAATATCCAGTGCTCTGTGCTCTCGGGACCCAGCGTGGTGCCTTCCTAGGTTCCAGAACACCAAACTGCACTTTTTCAGTCTTTTGAGAATACCAGACTTCAAGCCCTTAGACACACCCACTCTTACAGCTTCCGTTCCCTCTTCCCTTAGACCCGGAGATCTGGGCTCCTCCCCCTCCCTCCTTCCTCCTCCCCCTACCCCGCCCCGGCCCCGCCTCCTCACCACCTCACCCACCTGCAAAGAGCCGGGAAGGCAGAGGGGGAGAAAAAAAAGACAAGAAAAAAGGGAAGGGTCGGAGTCAGCGCCGGGGTGACCCCGGGACTCAGCCCTCCCAACCCCGCCCCTGGCCGCCCTGAGGCGGACACTCACCCATTGACAGCGACCTGGGGGGCGCTTTGCTGTGGGAAGAGAGTTTGGGGTCAGGCAGGTTAGACCTCAGAGTTCCTGGCTCACCGCAGTTGTGCGGATAGGGGAAGCCTAGTGCTTCCCTGGCAGCTCCGCCTCACCTGCCTGCGCCGCTTCTCATGCTGTAGCTGTTTTTCCACTGGGTCCTCCCAGGCGCGGCCCTGCGGGTCAGTGGCCGGGGGCTCCCAGCCGCTGTAGAATTCCGGATTGTATTGAGACCCTTCTTCCGGAGGCAGCTCCACCCTGTGGTCAGGGACACACTCGAAGGTTAGGTCAAACGAAGGCCGGGCACTAGTTCACAAAAATTCTCTTTTCCTGCAAACCTGGCTCTATCCTCACAATTCTTTTTTTCCTCCTTTTCCTTTCCTTTTCTTTTTCTTTCTTTCTTTCTTTCTTTCTTTCTTTCTTTCTTTCTTTCTTTCTTTCTTTCTTTCTTTCTTTCTTTCTTTCTCTCTCTCTCTCTCTCTCTCTCTCTCTCTCTCTCTCTTTTACATCCCCATCGCAGGCTGCTCCCTTCTCTCCACCTGGTCCCACCCTACCAACCCTTTTTCCCCTTCGCTCCTCCCCTTCTCAGATAAGGCGAGCCTTTCTTTGAGCCATAAACCCACATCAAGTGGCATGAGGACTAAGTGCAGCCTCTTGCACTGAGGCCAGCTAAGGCAGCCCAGTTAGGGGAAAGTGATCCAAAAGCTATCCTCACAATTCTTAACTTCATCTCTCTTTATCTGCTTCTACCCTCTAAACCCTACTCAGGACATTATATTTCTTTATTAAAAAATTAACCCGGGTGGTGGTGGTGTACGTCTTTAATCCCAGCGCTCTGAGGCAGAGGCAGAGGCAGGCGGTGGATTTCTGAGGCTAGTCTAGTTAACAGAGTTCTGGGACAGCCATGGCTACACAGAAAAACCCTGTCTAGGAAAAAATTAAAAATAAATAAACACAGATAGATAAATATAAATAACCCTACAAATAGACACAGATAAATAAAGCACTTGTGTGTATGATGCTCTGCTTGCATGCGCGTAAATGTGTGCCTCGTGTGTGCCCGCTGCTCATGGAGGGCAGAAGAGGGCATCACAGTCCCTGAAATTGGAGTTATGAGCAGTCGTGAGCCCCCTGTGGGTGCTGGGAATTCAACCCAGATCCTCTGGAAGCGCAGAATGTGCCCTAACCACCCATTAATTATATTTCTAACCACACTGATTGCCCTATTATGCCTCGTCCAATCTCTGAGGCCAAAGCTTTTTCTGTTTTAGAGGGTACAGGGTTGGAGCAGTCCTGATGGACAACCCTGGCTGGCCTAAACTAGCTTATTTAGAGTAGCTGCCCTTGACTACCAGACATCCTCCTGACTATTTCTTAAGTACTTGATTACATAAAATATTTATCTACTTACTTATTATTGTGACGGTGTGGGTGAGCACATGTGAGTCAGAGGAGAATTTTGTAGAGGCAAATCTCTGTGTTCACATTTATGTAAGTTCCAGACAGGGTCTCCTCTACTGAAAGGTGATTTTCAACTTCTGACAGTCCTTCCCCACTTCCCAAGAGCTGGGATTACAGGTGTGTGCCACTAAGCCCAAGTGCCTAAGCTACTTTTTTTTTTTTTTTTTAAGATTTATTTTCCTGGGGTTGGAGAGATGGCACTGACTGCTGTTCTAGAGGGCCTGGGTTCAATTCCCAGCACCCATATGGCAGTTCACAATTGTCTGTATCTCCAGTTCCAGGGAATCCGACACCCTCACACAGACATTCATGCAGTCAAAATACCAGTGTACATAAAATAAAAATAAATACATTGTTAAAAAAAAAACATACTGTTTTAAAAAAAAATTATTTTCCTGTCTGCATGTGTGCCTTCCCATCAGAAGAGGACACCAGACCTCATTATAGATGGTTGTGAACAGCCATGTGGTTGCTGGGAATTGAACTCAGGATGTTTGGAAGAGCACCCAGTGCTCTTAACTTCTGAGCCATCTCTCCAGCCTCCCATCCCCCAGCTACTTTTTAAATAGTTATATCAATCCATCTTGCCCTTCGACACACTCCCAGTCTTGGGCTCGACTCTGCCCTGAAGAGGGCCTCCTAGCACAGACGCCCTTCCACTCCAAGCCTTTAGGAGACACAGGCCATACATCCTGCCTTTTCCATGTGGCTGGGTCCCATACTCACCTAGACACTCCTCCTTGCCTTGTAGTCTCTAAATTCTCGAGGCCTCTGCTTTTTGCTTCAATCTGACTCTGATTAGATCTTAAACCTTCCATTCACGCTACTTTCCGGCTTTTTCTCCAAATGAATCCTGGCATTTCCCTTAAATCACATCCCTCCTCAATTTATTTAGCAGCATCCCGCACGCCAAGTCTGGCCTCTACCTCAAGCTTCCCCTCTCACCCTGGGCGGGTCCAGGAGTCCCCAAGCGACGTCCACAAGGTGTTTTCACGAGGAGTGACATTGTCGCGGAGCAGCGCCACAGCCTCCAATGTCAGATGTGGTCGTCGCACGCTGCTCGCGAACTCAGGGCCTCCTGAAGTATTCACGATCTGCCAGGCAAACGGGAGTGAGCATGCCAACAAGACCTTGAAGTCTAATCCTAAGCCTTCCAAAGCAGGGGTGGGGGATCCGAGGGCTGGGAACGGGTCTCACCATCTGCAGAGGCCCGAACAGAAAGTGCAACAGCTCTGCAGAGGAGGGATTGGCGATGTTGCCTCTCAACCGGGCCTGGAGTGGAAGGAGGTCATTGCACAGATGGACGGGTCAGAGTCACAGTGCCCACATGCCATTGATGCCTAGAAATGGTTGTGTCCTCACCAGCAGACTGAAGGCGTATTTGATTTTCTGAAGCACGTCGGTGTATTCAGCCTCGGTGGGAGGCTTGGCCCTCAGCGTCAGCAAGCCCTCTGTGGTTGGGGAGCAGGTGAGTAGGTGGGGACACCCGGACAGCATTAGATAATAGCTCCAAAGGAGCAAACGCTCAAACATATGGCCTTAGGAAGTCAGACCTGGTGAGTGGTGGGAGACCCCGGGAGAGGGAATATCTGGACCTCATCCAGGAAGGTGTGTTCTGGTTCTACATGGAGGCCCTTTACCTCCAGGAGCTCGGCGTCGTGTCCTGCGGCCGCGCTCGCGGTGCTCCAAAACCCGGGCAGCCTCTGCTGACTTTTGCAGTCTGGATACAAAACTCTCCACGTCGTCAAACACGTGGTTCAGGATATCCTGCGGTACGACGGACAAGAGTGGTGCCCCTGAGTCTCAGACTGGTCAAGTCCAGTCAAGTCCAGGTCTCCTAACTGGACACACCCGCTACGTCAGGCCACGCCCATAACCGGAGCCGCGGCTGATCTATACCAAAGACCCCAGCCCCGAGGCCGGCGCCTTGTCAGAATGTCACACCTAGAGGAGGCACGTTCCTGAATTTCGCCCCCAACCCTATTCCGACTTGATTGTCGTGGGAATCCCTTCCCCCAAGCTGGTGCCTCTCACGCAAGCTTACCACGTCCCGCTCCGCTTGCAGACCCGCCAGCTCAGGACCGCGTGGGCCCAGGTCCGGGGAGGTAGGCTCCGCGCTTCTCGTGCGAGCTGGGTCGGGTCTCCTCGCGTCTTCGGTCTCTGGAATTGGCTCCACCTGGGGTCGCCCGCGGCCGGCGGATGGCTCTACCGAGCTGATCACCGCGCGGACTGACGGGCGACGCTGTAAGGGCGGGGTCTCCGTAGCAGGGGAGGCGCCACGTTGCAACTCCTCCTGCGTCGCCCTGAGTAAGAAGAGGGAAACTGAGGCTGGGGCAACCGATGGGGCCAGGGACAGAGACAGGGGGTCAACTGTAGGCTGGGCATACTGTAGTGAGAAATTGGACACGAAGATGGAGAAAACAGAAAACCAAGACAGGCTAAAGTAGAGGATTGGAGAAGGTCACCTGGTCTAGGAGCTACAGGTACTTGTGACCACATTCAACTCTCTAGGCTGCTCTATCAAGCCAATTTCTTAGCTGAGGAGAAGGAGACCCATAGACGGGAGAATGTTTTCCAGAGCGCTCGGCACCTGCTTTCTCCTTCTCCTCACCTGAGCGCGGCCGCCCTGCGTTCCCCGCGTCCGGAGCGGTAATTCTGCAGAGCCCCTTGGATGTCCTCACGGATCAGCTCCGCCTGTCAATCATACTTTAAGGTCTCCCCTCTTAAGCCCCATCCTTGCCCGCTCCCGCCACTCTTGTTCTCAGCGCCCCGCCTCCGGCTGTGGCTGTCTTGGACGAAACCCATGGGCCCTCATCTTGGTTCTGCCTGTTCCTCAGACCATTCTTCTGTTTTACAAGGTCTGAGAGTATCTTAGCCTTTCGCCTGAGTCTTCTTCCTATCGTTACGTTCAGTCTTTGTCCAGATTTCAAAATGCCCTCAAACCCGGCTCCCTCCCAGACCCTGTTTGTCATAGGCCCCGCCCCCAACAGAAGCCACGCCTTTGACTCCCCCCACCAAAGGCCACCTGGAGCCACGCCCACTCACCCCGAGGAGCAGGCCCTGGAAGAAATGGACATCTGGCTGTGCTCGCTCTGGCTCTTGGCACACCAGGAGCAGCAGCGAGCGGCTCCGGCCTCGGAGCATCACCGCATCGCAGCGTACTATGGCGTCAAGGGGATATGACTCCAGTTCCTCCTGCAGGACAGGACGGCAGGGTAAACGGACTCCTGATACCACTACAGTTGTGCGGGAGCTAGGGCAAGGCAACTGCAAGAGTTTAGGGGCCTGTTTTAAGCCAGCTTGTTTAAAATAACACCCTGCTTAAAGACAGCTTGCCAAGGTTCACAAGGGAAGGAGGCTTAGGAGCCAAGATTCGTGCTCTGATTCCAGCCCCGTTGCTCTTTCCACCCCCGTACTCCCTGGCACCTTGGAGACAGGATCTAGCAGAGTGATATGGCCAGGTGACACCCTCAGTAGCATCTCCTGGGCCCAGACGCGCCCCTGGCTGTCCATGACGGCCAGCTTTCTGGAAGCGTCTTCCACGGTGTGTACGCCATCTTCCTCCCCCAAGCAGAAGGTGACCAGGTGCTAGCAGGAGTGAGATAGGAAAGCAGTGAGTCCCAGGCAACGCCAGGCTCGTGCCGCGTGGCTAAGGGAATCCCGAGGCAGACTCGCAGTTCAGCCTCGCCTTGCTTCCCCAAGGTTGCTTTCCTTGGTCCCTCAGACACAGGACTCCAGATTGTTTGGCCCCGTGTCCAGCACTGGGGATGGCTCAGCGGAAGATCTGATGGAACTGAGGTCTCAGGCAATGAGGGCAATGTCAGTGGGGAGAGAAGGTCTGAGTTTTCCTAGAGTCTTTTCTGCTTGATGGGCCATCTGTTTTCAAAGGCCCTGTCATTTCAGGCTCACTTCTCCCCAAGAGACACCTTAGGGAAACACAGACCCCAAACTCACATTGACATGGTACTGGGACACGTCGGCCATAACCACAGTGGAGTAACGTTTTCTCTGTTCTAAGGGAGGGGAGAGCAAAGTGTACACAGGAGTCAGACTTTAGTCTTGTTCCTTAGATCCTGACCCCAGCCCTCCTTTCTCAGACCCAGGAGTCTAAACCCCAGCCTCCTCCCTTAGACCCAAAAGCACAGACCCTAGCCTCCTCCCTCAGATTCAGGAATACAGACCCTAGCCCTTCTTCCTAAGATCCAAAAGTCTAGATTCAATACCCCCCTCCATCAGACCCAAGAGCACAGGCTATATTCTCTCTTCTCCCAAGACCCTTATTCTTGGTCTCCTTCACCCACAAGCTTACCATAGATAGACTTTGCATTTGGTTTGGGTGCAGCTTCAGGCCTAGCAAAGAAAAAAAAAAAAAAAACCAAGGGGTTAGCAGGATGTTGAGGCTGGTGAGAGATGCTGCAGGAATGACAGGCAAAGCATCAGGGAGTGTAATGGAGAGCCATGGAAGGTTTGGTCAGGTGAGAGCAGGGCAATGCTGGTGTTTAAGAGAATGGTATGAAGCCAGGCCTGCCAGGCCTGATAAGGCACGCCTGTAATCCCAGCACTTGGGAGGCAGAGGCAGGCGGATCTTTGTGAGTTCTGTACTGAGGCCAGCCTGGTCTACAAAGGGAGTTCTAGGACAGCTAAGGCTACACAGAGAAACTTTGTCTCAAAAAACCAAAACCAAATAAAGTAAATAGATGGTATGATGTGATAATGTGTGGGGCAGAGACCTCCATATCACATAGACCTGGATGCAAATATTTTGTCTGCCTCTCTCTGTCTCTGCCTCTTCATTTCTCTCTCTTCCTCTCACCTTGAATGAGGTCTCCCAATGTAGCTCTGGCTGTTTGGAAAATCACTATGTAGACCAGGCCTCAGACTCATAGAGATCCTCCTGCTTCTGCTTGAATTAAGGGCATGTACTACTATGAATCTCTCTTTCTCTCTCCCTCTTAATAAAAATGCTTTTTTGCATTTTTGAGATAGGATCTTGAGATCACTATGTAGCTGAGGATGGTCTTGAACTTCTGTTCTCACTGCCTCTGCTGCCAGTGTGCTGGGAATACAGGAATGCACCACAATATCCAGCTCTGGGTTCAAATTCATGGAGCAGATGACACTGGAGAGTTGGCTTAGTGGTTAGTTCTGGGCAGTCAGGCCAAGCTGCTCACAACTACCTGTAAATCCAGCTTCAGGAGACCAATGCCTTCTTTTTAGCCTATGAAGCACCCTTCCCCAACACACATCAGAGAGAGAGATACATTTATGACTTTAAAAAGACTGATGGCTAAGCTTGGTTGTCAATGTGACTACATCTGGAATCAACTAAAATTCAATGTGTTGCGCACATCTATGAGGGACTTTCTAGGTTGGAACGTTTGATGTGGGAAGAACCATCCTAAGTCTGGACCACACTTGAGGTGGCAGCCACATAGAAGGACATGGAAGAAGGAGATGCCTTTTTGCCTGCCTGCGCTCACTCTCGCTGGCCAGTTCATCTGTTCTGTTCATCTGAGGCACCCTTTGCTCATGTTAGAAGATATTTCTTCAGAATTCTAATGTAGATCCAAGGCCAGCAGCTCTCTAGTGATTCCTGGAGACTCCAGCACCAGACTGGGACTGCTCACATGCCCAGTCTGGTGTACTAAACAAATACCAGGTTTTCGACTTTTCTCTCAGACCACAGCATGCAAGCCATTCTAATAAGTTGTGTGAGTGTGTATATTCATTTTATCAGTTCTGTTCCTTTGGGTAATCCTGGGTAATACAAAGATGAAGGGTAGAGAATGGAGTGATTGGTACACACATATCATCCCAAAACTCAGGAGACAGAGAAGTGTGAGGCTAGCCAGGGCTACATAGTGAAACCCTGTCTCAAAAAACAAAACAAAACAAAAAACACAAAACAACAGAAAACAAGAGCAAGACACTGTAAACAAAACAATAGCAAAACAAAAACCAACCAAGCAACAAACAAAAAACACAGACAAATAAAATCTCGGGCTGAAGGGCTGGCTGAGCAGTTACACACAAGCACTACTCTTTGAAAGGATTCAAGAGCAGCTCCCAACAGCCCCGCCAGGCAGTTCACAGCCGCCTGGAACTCCAGCCCCAGGAGATCCAACACTTTCTTCTGACTTCTGCAGGCACTGCACACATGTGCACAGACCCAAAGTCAGACACACACATAAATAAACCTGCAACAAACAAACGACCCTACCAGACTCTGGTAAGGGGACCTAATCTTTCCTACCTCAGTTTCCCTTCCTGTAACATATCACAACATCTACCTGGTGTGGCTGCTGTACAAATTCAACACAGTAGGTGAAGTGTTTTTCAGTCTCAGTAATAGGTATCATTCTAATTACGTTGCTGCACAGAGCTTAGCACACAGTGGTTGCTCAATCAATGGGAACTGATACAACTTTCAGGAGCTAGAGTAGGCATGGAATTACCTCCTTCCCCTCCCACTATGGTTCAGATCATCCCAGGCAGTCATTCCTGGTCTCTTCCTGTTCTCAGTTTCCTCTCAAAATTACCACTTGCAATAATTCTTTGTTGTTGTTGTTGTTGAGATAGAGGCACATATAGCCCAGGCTAGCCCCAAAGCTGAGGATGACTTTAAACTCTTGATCCTCCTGCCTTTACATTCCAAGTACTGGGAATACAGGTATAATCATTATCATATATTTAATAAAGTATTAATTTAAGAAATAACAAATTATTATTTATATGTTTTTTGAAACAGTGTCTCTGCCAGTTTTCTTTTCTAAAAAGATTTATTTATTTTTTGTGCATAGATGTTTTGCCTATATGTATGTATAGACCTCTCTGTGAGGTCTCATATCCCTTAGAACTAGATTTACAGACAGTTGAGAGCTGTCATGTGGATGCTGGAGATTGAACCCGGGTCCTCTGGAACAGCAGCTAGCACTCTTCACCACGGAGCCATTTCTCCAGCACGTCTCTGTTTCCTGAGTGCTGGCTTTAATGTGCCCTTGTGCTGTGGATTAGACCCTAGTGTTTCATACATGGTAGGCAAGCTCTACTAGCTGAGCTACATCCCCACTCCCTGTAGCTTTTTAAAATCCCCCTTTCTACCAGAAAAACAGCGGGTCAGAGCTAGGCGGTCAAGTCTAGTTAGACTCTTGTTTTTTATCCTGATCCTGCTTGTCGAATATCCCTACGTTTTATCACGGTTGAGCTGGAGAGCTCACTACTTCTTTGTTTGGCTTTCCACCTGCTCCCTCCAGGAGATTTGAGTCTTCACTGTCCTTGGCCTTGCTTTTCTAGCAGAAGGTCGATATTTAACACTAAGGTAAAGGCCAGAACAGTGGCTTCCTAAAGATGGAGTGCCTGCTACGGGACAGTTGGCCGAGTCCTGAATGATTCTGTCGACTCTCAAAACATGTCCCCCTTCCCGTTTATCGAGAGGAGAGGCTGGGTTCCAGGAGGTGGCATGCCCCTGTCAGAGCCACAGCACGGTAGAGTATCCACATTTACAACGGAACTGCTTTGTCCGTGCCCAAGCGCCCAAGCGCAGGCTGGGCAGGCAGGGGAGCATTCCTCCCGAAGCTCTAGAGATTGGACTGTGGAAACAGGATCTGCAGGTGTGGGGGAAGGGAGGAGGGGCTAGGGCGGCAGGGCAGGGGGCACTTACCCTGTGGCGGTGCTCATGGTGGCAGAATGAGGTGCTCTATCCACTTGGAGATGCCTTGAGAGCCGGCAAAGACTTGAGTGACTGACTTGGCTTCAGGCACATGACCCTAATCCAACCTTCTTCTCTCAAACCAAGTATCCGCCCCCCACCCCGCACCCCCGCTTCTTTAGCCACAGGGATCCCTTCTTCAGACCCAGAACTCAGACCTAGGGGTCCAGACCCCAGCGCCCTTCCCTTAGACCCCAGCGCCCCTCCCTTAGACTCAGGAGTCCAGGCTCCAGACCTCTTTCAGACCCTGACGTCCAGACTTCAGTCGTCCTTTCTCACACCCAGATTTCCAAGTCCCAGCCTCTTTTCTCAGACCCAAGGAGCCAGTGAGAAGTTTATTCCTCAGATCCAAAAGTCTAGACCGTAGCCCTCCTTGTTCAGACCCAGAGGTCCAGGGTGGACCTCATCTCTCAGATCTAGAGTCTAGACCTCCGCTCCTTCTCAGACCCAGGGGTTCAGGGGGCACCTTGTCTCATATCTAAGAGTTTAGACCTCAGCCCTCCTCCCTCAGACCCAAGGGTCCAGGCTCCAGCTTTCCTCCCTGAAATCATTGCCCCAGCTCTCCCCTCCCTCACACAGGGGTCTGGCCCCTCCTGGCGTTCCAGCCTCCTCACCTGCCAGCTGGCTCTGTCTGGCTGTCAGCCTTCAGCTCGCCCTCCCTTGTGCTCTGGCCTCCCAGGCCCTGCGGCTCCTGCATACCTGAGCGCTCACCTGGCACTGCAGGGCTGAGGTGGCTCGGGGGCGGGGCTGGCCCAGGGGTGGGGCTGGCACACAGACTCAAGTGCGGGGGCGGGTCGGCTGTAGGGGATCCCGGAAATTCTGTGTGTCTGTTGTAACAACAGCATAACAACAACTTGCAGTCACACTTGTTCAGGCATCTGAGTGAAAAGCTCCTCCTTACAACGTTTTTGAGTCCTCCTCCGCGCTGGGGGTGGGGGCACAGGGTGGATTTCCTCTTGACTGGTGAGGAAGTTAAGGTGTGGAGTGGTTGGGCCACTTGTTCTTACAGGTAGGTCACCAAAAAAGTGTGTGTGGAAAAAGAGAAGAAACACGGACTGTGTCTCCAGGGCCGGCATGCATCCTGCCTCCTGGGACGCCTATCCACAATTGCCTTCTCCCTGGCTCTAGACTCTGTCTACTCTTTTCCATCTCCTTTGGAAGCTTTGCCTCCATCATCCCCCGTGGACCTGAGGGTTAAGACTTGTCTCTGGCCTCGGTGGGAGGGAATGTGCTTAGGATGCGCTAGGGCGGGTTGGTACACAGGGGGCCCCTCTTCTCAGAGACGGGAGAGGGGAATTGGGGAGGGGTGTGAGCGTAGGGCTGGGGGAGAAGAAAGAAGGGGGCTGTGATTAGGCTATAAAATGATTAAATAAATAAGTTAATGAGAAAAAAAAAGACTTGTCTCATTAAATACCTAGCACAGTGGTTCTCAGCCTTTAATGCTGAAACTCTTTAATACAGTTCCTCATGTTGGGGTGACCTCAACATAAAATTATTTTGTTGCTACTTCATAACTGTAATTTTGCTATGGTTATGAATTGCAGACTAAGTATCTGATATGCAGAATATCTGAAATGTGATCCCCAAAGGGGTCATGACCTACAGGTTCAGAACCTCTGACAAAGCTGGATGTGCTGGCTCACTCCTGTGAGTGAGTTTGAGGCCAGCATGAGCTATGAAGTAAGTTCAAGGCCAGCCTGGGCTACGCGTGAGACCTTGTCCTAAGATGTAGTGCAGCCGCCACACTCTTGCCTAGCAAACGTGAAGGCCGTTCATGTTCAGTCCCCACACCACATAAACTGGTCATGCCTGCACACACCTGTGACCCCAGAACTAAGAAGGTGGAGGCAGGAGGACCATGAGTTCAAGGGCATCCCCAGACACACAGTGAGTTTGAGACCAGCCTGGGCTACAATGAGCTCAAGCAACAGTGATAATGACGACAAAATCCAATCCCACACAGAAAGTGCGGCACAGCTGACACATGCATAAATGAGCACAAACACCTTTCTGAGGTGCCCTGTTGAAACACTTCTCCGGAGCGTGGTCCTCTGTGACTAACCTGCATGTATCATTTCTTCTCCAAACCCATGGTGAGTGTTGGTCTTTACCAAGATGAGGAAACCGAAGCCTGGTGTGTTCAGATATTTGCCCAACGCCATTTATGAAAACCAAGTTGTGCCATTGGCTTAAGCTCCTGTCAGTGATTGAATGAATAAAGAAAATGTGGATGTGAACACAATGGAGTGCTATTCAGCCACAAAGCAGAGAGATGATACCATGTCTCTTGTAGAAAAAATGACTGAGACTAGAGATTGTATAAAAAGGTTTTTGCATTTACTTGCTTGTATGTGTTCACACATTCATGGGCACACTTATATGCACACTTGTAAATGGGAGTGCACATTTGTCGCGCTGTGTAAATGGAGGTCAGAGGACAACCTCAGGTATCGCCCTTCCCTCCATCTTGTTTGAGACAGGGTCTCTTTTGTTGTTCACCACTGTGTATACCAGGGTAGCTGGCCTACAACCTGCAGGGAATTCTCTTGTCTCTGTCTCCCATCTTACTGCAGAAACACTGAGATTCTGGAATCACGATATCATACCCACCCAACTTTACATGGGTGCTGGGGATTCGAACTCGGGTCCTCATGCTTGCACAATAAGTACTTTACCCACTGAGACATCTCCCCTTAATGCTGTTATCTGTTCATTGGGTTTACTTTGTGTCTCTCCTCCTCACAATGTGAGCTTTGGCATGCCAAGGACTGGGTGCTAAGATCGCTGACTGTTTTTCTATGGGTGTTTTTCAAAGGGGACCCTGGCCACTGTAGACTTCCTGTGAGAAGAGGGGGTAAGTCACCTGGATGGCCAGTTTGATGGTCAGAGTGGCTAGGAGCACAGAATAGGGGCTGAAGAGGATCTGGGGGCAAAGCTTCAGGGCAGAACGCAGTCTCAGCTGTAAGGGTCTCATGCTACAGACAGGAATAGGTGGTCTCATATGGCTCTTTTTAATTTATTTTTGTTCCTGTTAGTGTTCTTATCAGCTCACTTTTTTTTTTTTTCTGAGCTCTTTTGTATGTGTAAGGGTGTGAAGGAAGATGTAGACAGGTATGAACCACATGGGTGTAGGAAACAACCCAGGCTTAGAGTGACAGGCCAGATCAGAAGGGCTCAGGAACCCAGCATGGGACACAAACACAGACCTGGCTCAGCCCAGGCTCCTTTCTTATGTGTAGGGATCAAAACTGTCTGAGAAAGCTATTGGTTTTGATCCAGGGACTCTGATTCCAGGGTCTGAGGTCTGTGCTCTTGGGTCTAAGGGAGGAGGCTGGGGTCTGGACTCAGGGTTTGAGGGAGGAGGCTGGGGTCTGGACTCTGGGTCTGAGAGAGGAAGACTAGGGTCTGGACTCAGGGTCTGAGGGAGGAGGCTGGGGTCTGGACTCTGGGTCTGAGGGAGGAAGACTAGGGTCTAGACTCAGGGTCTGAGGGAGGAGGCTGGGTCTGGACTCTGGGTCTTAGGGAGGAGGACTGGGGTCTGGACTTCTGGTCTGAGGGAGGAGGCTGGGGTCTGGACTTCTGGTCTGAGGGAGGAGGACTGGGGTCTGCATTCCAGGGTCTGAGGGAGAAGGCTGGGGTCTGGACTCCAGGTCTGAGGGAGGAGGACTGGGGCCTGCACTCCAGTGTCTGAGGGTGGAGGGCTGAGCCTTGCTTCTCTTTGAGGAGCAGAGAAGTCCTTCCCACAGTCCACCCCACCCTCCATTCCTTCTACCCACTACTGCTTCTGATTGTGTGCAGTATGCGTAACACTGAAACCTGACTCCCCACCCTCATTCCAGAGCAAAGAGTTTTTTTCTTCTTTCTTGGCAGCAAGGAAACCCTTCCCTCTCTCTAAACTATAACTTTGGCTCCCAAATTCAAGTGAGGCTTCCACCCATGGCTAGCCTGACTCAGACAGTCCAGGGTGGAGGTTGTAAATGTCTCTCTGGGAAACTCACCAGAGGAGTCTCTCCTTGAAGAAGCCTTTTCACCCCCATGCCTGCTCATCCAGCCGAGGAAGGCCTCTGGTGAAGCTGATAATCTCCCTCTCTGTGTCTTGCCTCATGTCCACCCTGGTTCACTGTAGTTCAAGAGGTGGAATTTTCCTTTTGCACTGGAATTCATTCCAAGTACCAAATGTAAGGCCTTGGTGTATTGACTCTTGAACTTGCATTATCTCTACCCTCTCCACTCTTACCTCATACCCCCTTCATGAGGAAATCCTGCCATGGGAGAAAAAAATCAAACTCACAGGTAAGGAGAACTATGGCTGGTTATCAGGGTGGGTGGAGTCATGAAACAGGGACTGCTTATCAGAAGCATATGTCTGCTTGGACACAGAAAACTTAGCTCACAGAAAACTAGCTCCCAGTTGGCCTTAGGCCTGAAATCCTGAGGCTGAGGCAGCGGGACTGAAAATTCAATGTCTGCCAAGAGCCTGGACAACTTAGTAAAACTTATCTTAAGATAAAATATAAAAGGGTTGTTAGGGGCATTATTTAGCAGAAGAGCACTTTCCTAGAATTCCCCAGTAAGCGACTAGGGTTGTGGCTCAGTGGTAGAGCACCTGCCTAGAACCCCCCAGTGAGGGATCGGAGTGTGGTTCAGTGGTAGAGCCTGCTGGGGGGACCTGGGTTCTATTTTCTCTCTCTCTCTCTCTCTCTCTCTCTCTCTCTCTCTCTCTCTCTTTCGTGTGTGTGTGTGTGTGTGTGTGTGTGTGTGTGTGTGTGTTTAAGAAAGGGCCTCTCTGTGTAGCTCTGGTCACAGAACTTGCTCTGTAGACTAGGCTGACCTTGAATTCAGAGATTCACCTACCTCTACCTCCTCAGTGCTGGGATTAAAGGTGTGTGACACATCTCTCTCTCTGTGCATTCTTGACTGTCTTGGACTTGTTTTGTAGACCAGGCTGGCCTTGAGCACACAGAGATCC